AAAAAAGACTAGAAACGTATATAAGCCTCACCAGGCTATGGGCCGCTGGTATCTCCGCTGCTCTCGGTTTTCCACAAGGACACAGCAGAGAGAGTGCCCTTAATAAATCTGCTATTAAGGAAGCAGCCCTGCATCTCCAACGCCGAACCATGGATTTGTTCACGTCGAGTTTACGTGCAGCGGTTCTATTTCCCTCCTGTACTGCCAGATCGATACTCCTCAACTTAAAAGCGGCATCATTTGAACTTCTTCGTGTGGTTTCCATGATGAGCGGGTGTGAGTTTGAAGACATTTCTCCGTCGTGCCTGCTGCTAGCATGTACTTATTCTAAACTAAAATTAGCACTTTCTTCTTTTAATTCCAATTTTGACTTCCAAAGATTCATTTCCTGCTAAAGAGCCCCCTGGTGGTTGAAGAAAAATCCACAACTCGGCTTATAGTCCGAAAATACGGTAGTTCATCTTGTGAATTTTTAATGATTTACCTTCTTCTGGCTGTAGGGAGTGAATATGAACATGTTTATATTAATGTTTCCAAGATGAATATTGAACTGGCTCTCACAGTATTTGAGATAACCAGTTCAGTCAAACAGATGTATGAGATGCCTGTTGTAGACTTTGTAATAGCGTTTCTCCAATCCTGGTTTTTTGTTCTCACTTTTAGCTTTCATGTTCCAGATGACACTCATGTCTGAACAAATGAGTCAGAAAAGAGTTGTGGAAAACTTGATTCTGTTGACATAATATTTTTCTTTGAAAACAATGAAAACTTGATTAAATGTTTTTGAGCAGGAACAGCCAAACATACAGAAAGCCGTGTGGCCAGAACTAGGATTGGGTACACTAGTGGTTTCAATTGAAATGTTTTCTCACCTGTAATTTATAGATACCACAACAACGTTCTGAGCTTTACACAAGAAGTGGCCTTGGTAGATATCCAGGGTGGATGTTCCTGACATAAAGGCACCTCCATATATCCAAACTAATACAGGAACACGATCTTCCGGTCTGGGTGTGGGGGTCTTGAACAGAGGGGCCCAAACATTCAAGTACAGACAGTCCTCACTCACAGGGGTGTTTGGATTCCACATCTCCGCACCTTCAAACCCTGCAACAATATCACATTTTTATTAACAATAAAGTTTAGTTACAGCCAGAGCAGCTGCAAGATTAATAAAACCTTTGAGCCAAATGAATCCTTAGTCTTCATCACAAGCATTTCACAGATCAGATATGCTGAACTAGCTCTTATATTATAATCTTCATGTTAAAGACCATTTATGACAAATACTGTGCAAAGTTATGAGTCACTCCATCATTTCTTGATTATTGACAAGCCAGGAACAAGGCATGTGGTGGAAGAGAGCTTTTTACAAGTTTTCAGAGTTGTCCATAATTCCTGTAGATTATCTGAATGTCTTTAAAAGCTTTTCATTGGCCATTGGCTGCTTTTTCACTTATTTAAGCACCAACATTTTTAGTTTAGTGTTGGGCTGTTCATCCCTAAGTAGAAGGTTGATAAGTATTATGATAGCTTTATAAAGTTCAATGGGATACTAATTTTAGTCAGCACATTTCATGAATAAGCATGATCTTACTAACTTATTAAATAAAGGTTCAACAATATTCATTCAGATTCATATCAGCATACAATAGTGGAAAACCTCCCCACCTACCATAGACAAACAAAAAACAAGGATAGTGACATGACAATCGAAACTCCTACATATTATGATCATCAGTCGAAAAATTGTTGTTGCTATGCCAAAAAAGTACTTTAAAACTCATAAACCTCAATTTATAAAGATATTTTAATCAGGTATCAAACTGTTGGGTTTAATGAAATTATTTGTGTCTAATTTAAATGTTATTTGAACTAAAGTAAACCTAATTTATATTATTATGTTAAAACAGCAATCATTTAATTTCTGTTTGGGATGAATGAAGTATTTTTGAATAAAAAGTAATTTGCAGTGCTTTTCTTTTTAAATTAATTTTGCTACACTTGCTATACACAATCGACCTGTGCCTATGATGGGAGGATTACAAGTGTTGAAAGCTTTACCTCTCTTTTTGTTTTATATTGATTCTTGAGGTAATTAGTTTTGTGCTCAAAGTTTTCATGACAAAAATAATGACTGAAAGAAAAAAAAAAGTTAGACATTCAGTAATATGGCCAATGTTGCCAAACATAACAAACATGTTGAAATTAGGAACATTTCTACCATTAGCTCATGCACAAGTGACAAAATTGTTGGCATCCCTCTGTCCATGACAGAGTACCCCTCAACAGTCATTTCAATAACTTGAAAATTACAATAACAGTTAAAAAGGTAACAATACATGAACATCTACTGAACATTAACCAGCAAAGATCAGACATTGTTTTTCAAATAAAGTTAAACTAAATCATTTTAAATAATAAACTAATGAACAGTGCAGGACAAAAAATGATGGCACTTTTAGAAAAGAATGAAGATAGTTCGACCAGAAAGGAATATGTTCAATAAAAGGGTGTCTTCTAATTAGTATTAAAGGGATCTTAAAGCTTGTGCTGAACATAATTTATTTGGAAGTTTAAGGTAGACAGGACTTTAGTAATCCTCTCTGTCTGTGGCCGCAGGTGGAAACTGATGACAAACTGAAGGGAAAGATAATATGAATGGTAACCAAAGAGTTCATATATGCTCAATTTGTTGAAATAATAAAAAAAATAAAAAATAAAAGTATTGTTTATGCCAAACATTTTCTGTTTGTACAGTCACTGTGTTTAGACAAATATACATATGAAACCACTTCAGATTAGGTCACTCCACTAAATTGCCCTGATGACAATGTCTTGTTTGGATAATATTTTTAATGCATCCTTTCATAGGACAGATCACCTAGTCCAGTGTTTACAATGAGATCAAGCAGTTCCTATAGAGGGATTATTTGTTTGTAAACACAGCGGATGCTCGCTCAGCTTGACTGCAGCAAAGGTCGGCCGGCCTTTAAATGTTCACTGGTTGCCATGGTAACCGGCATTTATCTTGCTGTTATAACATTAGCCAGCATTTTCTCAGTGTACTACAACTCTTTATCACAGTGTGATAAAATTAATTATTCAACAATATCAACATGAGTGAATGTGATGTGTTCTAATGACCCATAAGCGTTAAATTTAGGTGAATCGATAAACGACAAGAGAAAATGGCTCAAACGACGGACATTACCCAACACCAATATTAAATCAATTTGTTCACCATAAGATCAATAGCAATCATATCTTAATAGTCCCTCCACATAACATAAACACATAGGTAGTGAGCAATATTGAACCGGAATAGGGATTTTGTAAAATGTAAGTTTTAATTTGAAAAAAAAAAAAAAAATCATATTTAGCATGGAAAGGACAAATAAAATACAGTGATTTCTTCCTAGTTTGGTTAAATTGAGAGGGAAAATGAGAATGTAGCAGCATCCATCAAGGCAGGTGATAAACTAAGTCATCAGAAATTAAAAATGCAGTGGGTTGAACTGCTGCATTTTTATCTGGCCACTTCAGTTTTGCTGCCTCAGTTTTACAAATATCCCCCACATTCACCTTGCAACAACAGCAGATCATCTTTTTGTTGTTTTTCACTTTTGTTTTATTCTCCTAAATTTAGTCAATACAAAGGACAGAACTTACATCATAATATGACAAGTTTTTAATGATAATATCTAGGTGAATTAAACTTATTTTGAAATATCTTGTATTTGTGTAGCATTGAATCATACCTGGAAACATGTCATCTCGCAACTGGTAGCAGGAATTTGGTAAAGATTGGGCATTTCTCACATCGTTCCATTTATCCATTGGCTCTGGAGGTTTGAATCTTCGATTTTCAGAAGGCGGCTTTGCATACGGAATTCCACGAAATGCTTGAAGTTGACCATCTAGCACATTAAAAACATTCCCTCGAACCTTTCCATATTTGGTGGTGATTATAGGTTCATTTTCATTGGCAAATGATGCTGTCAGGATGAGAAGCAGCAGAAGCAAAGGCTGAAAGTCTGCCATGGGAAATCTGAGAAGGACAAAGCAAAGGAACAGATAGCCATTATTATTCATTTAAGAACTAACACCTTTAATAAACGGTGCTTTTACTTGATTTTATCCTCCTTACTATTCAACTATATCCACTTCTTTCATTGTCTGATTTAATGGGAAATTAAAATTATAAAATTTTAAGATCCCACAGTGTAGAAATG